TTCGTAGGCGGCTAGCAGGCACCACCAGGCTGTCATGTGCCAAGGTGGGCTGGGGTCAGAGCTGGCGCTCAAACACAGGTTATAATTCTGAGCTCCATGCCCCAAACACCACACTGAAGGTTCTCATTCCATTACAGTGTGTATGTGGGTCTCTCTGGTTCTAACGAGATGAAGGCCCATGATTTTGAGATTCCTGAATTCTCTCTCCCTCTCCCTCCCCCTCCCCTCCCCCTCCCCCCCCCCCCCCCCCCCCCCCCCGCCCCTCCTTTTTTTTTTTTTTTTCGAGACAGGGTTTCTCTGTGGAGCCCTGGCTGTCCTGGAACTCACTCTGTAGACCAGGCTGGCCTCGAACTCAGAAATCCACCTGCCTCTGCCTCCCAAGTGCTGGGATTAAAGGCGTGCGCTACCACTGCCCGGCTGAGATTCCTGAATTCTCATGATACTCTCTAAATGATTTTGATTGCTTGTTTGAGCAGTTTGTGGTTGTTGACTGAAGACCAAGTAGATTACTTGATCCTATAAAAACGCACCCTGTTCCCAATCTGGCTGGCCAGGCCAGGCCTCGGGTATGTACTAGGGCTGGAATACTCTGAAAGGTAGGCTTCTTACTGCTTTGGGAGACCGAGGGTCTTGTCTGGATCAGCAGTTCTGTCTCCACTGTCTCTTGAGTCCTCCTGGAGGGGAAGCCTGTTGTCAGGGCACCCACTAAGTTCTTGCTGCAATAATTTGGTTTTTGGACTTGGACAGACTTGAACTGGGACTCATCTCTTCCACCGTTGCCCTGTGCCAGCTGGGTGACATTGGGCACTGCTGAACTCCTTTGGGTCCTAATCTCTTCCTCCAAGATGGAAAATAGTCATGCATTGTGGGACTGGCACAGGGCCTTTGATTGTTGCCTGATGATGATGATGCTGACAGTGGTGATGGAGGGGATGTTGATAATGATGATGGTGATGATGATGATGGTGGTGGTGATGACGGTGATGGTGATAAAGGTGGTGAAGTTGTTGTTGGTGATAGTGGAGGTGGTGATGATGGCGGTGTTGGTGATTGCGATGACAAGGTAGATGGTAGTGGTGATAGCAATGACAGAGGGAGGGCTGGGATAGCAGCCCCTACACATGGTACACATACATGGTCACATGCATGTTCAGACTTTTTTTCCTCCATAACTTCCACTCTGCCTTCCATCCACAGCACATTGCTTCTTCACAGGGGCTTGTTGTAGGAGGCAGGAGGATGGCTGTGCTTTGTAGAGAGAAGCTGAGGCTCCAAAAGACCAGTGGTATCAGGAATGGGAATGGGGTTCCAGACACCGTGGGCTTCTGTTACTTCTCTCCTCCTGGTTTAGCACACCACCACCTGGAAGGACAGTGGGGGAAAGCGGCTCAGTATTGGACCCGGAGAGGGAGGTGCTCTGCGGGGGTGGAGGATCTCTGACTCTGACTCTACTGCTCTCTTCGGTGGAGTGTCTCTGTCGTGGTGAGACTTGACCTGCAGAGAGCTCAGCTGTCAGTTCCGGGGGGGGGGCGGATTCTAGAAAGAAGAAAGGAGTCAGGGCACAGGCAGGAAGCTGGGATTTTTGAGTCAGACACCAGACACGGGAGCTTTAGGAATGGAGGGTGAGCCGGAGGGTGGAGGCTAGGCAGTCACTGGGGGGCAGGTTAGAGAGGGGATGGAGGATGTGTGGGTGCCACTGAGGACCAAGTAAAGGAAACGGAGGCTGGATGAACCCTGGAGATCAAGTCAAAAGGTGGAGGCAGGTCAGAGGCTGGAGGATGGTGGGGACTGGGGATGAGTTGAGGCTGTAGGCCGGGTGAGTGTGGGGAGCAGGCCAGAAGTTGGCTGGACTGTCCCAGAGGTGGTGGCCTGAGTGGCAGAGATGTCTAGCAGGGGGATGAGGATGGAGGATTGCTGCTTAGTGTGGCCAATCAGGGGCCAGAGGACAAGACAGTGGGTGGACACCAGCTGGAGTCAAGAGAAGCTGTAGCTGGTGTGACTACTGTGTGCTGCCTCTGAGCCCAGCAGCTCGCCCCTCTGTGTGGCTGTGGGGAGGGGTTTCCACGGTGGGGAGAGGTTGCCATGGGGATGCCAGACCCAGCGGCTTCCCTGTGTCCATTTCTCCGGCTCCCATGGGGATGCCAGACCCAGCGGCTTCCCTTTGTCCATTTCTCTGGCCCTCCTTGCTCTCCGTACTCCCCAGCTCACCGTCCTGAATAACGCTTACTGGAAGAGGGTATACCATGCTCAGGTCCCAGCCTAAACCCTCAGTGACTTCTGTTGCACTTGGAGCCTTCCTTCAGGGGCTCTCCAGTTTCACTCCCTTCTCTGCCTCATTGAGGCCACACTGGCCGCATTCCTTTTCTCTGTTTCTTAGACGCACCCAGCCACTTCCAGTCTCCTAGCCTTTGCACATGCTGCGTCTCTTACCCGGAGTGTCTTTCCTCCGAAGGATGCTGACGGTTCCTTTCGAGTCTTACTGTTTTGCTCTTAAATGGCCCTTCCTTTAGAGAAGAAGTGATTTATTACGACTCACACATTACCCCCCTTGCTTATTTACTTTTCAATACTTTTTAGTTATGTATCCAACAAACATTTATTGAGCATCTAGTATGTTCCCAGCACTCACTGTTCCAGGGGCTGGGGTTACAGCAATAAATGTAACAGGCCAGTCTGTGCTCTCAGTTACAGTCTTGTTGCAGGCTGGGAAGACAAGTCACAGAGATATAAGAAACAAAAATTGTACACTACATTTGGAGGGTGACTGGGGTAGTGGAAAGCCAGAGAGGGAACTGGATTGAGTGTGTATCCTTTTCTTATGCTGGTCTGAATTAGGGTTCATAGAAATTTACCAGCATAGCTGTGGAGCCTGCACACAGTAGGTGCTCAGGACAATCAGGACAGACAGGGATATGGAGGCCAAGGGAGTATGCTCCCTCTGGTAAGAGGGGAGAGTGTAAGCTGAGGCCTGGAAGAGGCAGCGCTGCCCTCGGGACCCAGGAGGTCCTGTTTGACTGGAGCGATTGCAGGTAGAGGGTATGGTGGGCTCCAGAGCTGGCTCAGTGATGGGGAGACCTAGAGCTGCCCCAGGGAGGGTGCTGTTCTACCTGGGTGGTTGATGCATGGCCAGCCAAGGTGCTTATGTAAGACTGGTGCTGTTTTTTCTGGAATTGGGAGCAAAACTTGGAGCTCAGGAGAAAACATTCCGGCCCTGATCAGCGGGGCGAAGCAGCAGGAAGTATCAGCTCCTGTCCGTTGCCCGTGGGAGCAGAGAAGTGTCTGGATCCGTTAGCTCAGGGTGGTTCAGTCGATAGCTCTGCGGCCGCCAGCAGCAGCCAGGAATGCAGGCTTTCCTCTGCCTGCCTGCTGTCAAGCTTGGATAAACCTTCAGGGATATGCAGCCCCAAGGGTGAGGTTGTAGGGGGCTGGGCTCTAGGATTACCTTCCCTTCCTAGCCTGCCAGGAGGCTGGTCAGGCCAGTTGCCACTTGTCCTAAGTGGGTGTGGAAGTTCTGACTTCTCATCTTCCTCTGGTTCTACACAAGGCACTCTTTTTCCTGGGCCTCAGTTTCCCTGTAATACCCCCTGTGAGGTGGCAGGCAGAGTGCACTTCAATAAGACTAGCCTGTAGCACTGCCCCCTGAGCGGAGTCAGGGCCAGTGTGTGATTGGCAGGCCAAGGATACTGCTGAGCAAGGCCCTTGGTAAAGCACCATGGATTTCAGAGAGGCAAGACAGATCTGGAAGCCACATGGCCTGAGTTTCTCTCTCTTGGCCTCAGTTTCTCTACCTGTAAAGAGATTAGCTTCTAGATCTCTGGGTTCTCATCCTGATGTGTATGTGTGTGTGTGTGTGTGCGTGCGTGCGTGCGTGCGTGCGTGTGCATGATGTTTCCTGGCCTAAGAGCTCACTGGAGGTCTCAAATGTCACTTCCTCAGGGAAACCTTTCCTGTTCTCTCCTTGTTCCTCAGTGCCTAGTTCCACAGTACCCAACTTCTTTGTGACACATTGCCCTGACCCCTGAGCCTGTTCACAGTTACATCCCCTCACTTCCCTAAAATATTACTTCACATTTGATGATTCGATAGATAGCTCCAGTCTTTTATATAATAAGATTTATTCAATTATTTTAAAATCATATGTGTATGTGTATGTCCTCTGTCTGTATGCCTGTGTATGTGCATGTGAGTGCAGTTACCTAAGGAGTCCAGAAGGGGGCATCAGATCCCCTGAAGGCATAGTTCCAGACAGTTGTGAACTACCTGATGTGGATATTGGGAACTGAACTAGGGTCCTTTCATGAACAACATACATTCTTAACTGGTTAGCCATCCCTTTTAAATTTATTTTTATTTTTATGTTTATTTTATTTTGTTTTAGAGACAGGTTCTCTAGCCCAGGTTGACTTCAAATAGCCTACATAGTTGAGGTTGCCCTTGGGCTTTGGTACTTTCCACCTCTGTGTCTCTACGTAGGTGTGCCGCTGTGCCTGTTCTATGTGGTGCTAGAGATCAAACCTAGGACCTTGTGCATGCTAGGCAAGCATTCTATTACTTGAGCTACATTCAGCCTAGACTTCCACTTTAATTATTATTATTATTTTTGGTAGTACTGGGAACAGCTCCCAGACCTAGAATATTAAACGTATTCTCTACCACTGAGTCACACTCCCAACAAGAACTCTAGCTCAGCACTATGAAAAGAAAAGAAAGACATCATTTACATTCTAAGATTTTATTTAAGTTTTTAAAAAAATAGTTGTCATTTGCCAAAGCCTATAGTGACTCGGCTTGAGCAATTGAGTGATACTGACTTCGGTATTATCTGTCCCCACTAACTCACGTGACCACAGTGAGGGTAGAGGGGTATCTTTAATGACCTGGAGCTAGGCTCTCTGAGCTGTGTCACCCACCATGGGGGAGGTAGGCTGGGGAGTGGGTGCTAAGCCAACCCCCACCATGTGTCCTTCTCTGTTCCCTAGGGCTCCCTGCTCCATGCTGACATGGCTGACAGCAGCTTACCACCCTCATCTGCAGCAGGCCCGGACCCTGAGCCGGGAATCACAGAGCAGCCGGGACCCCGGAGTCCCCCTCCATCCCCTCCAGGCCTGGAGGAGCCATTGGATGGAACCAACCCCGATGTCCCACATCCAGACCTGGCACCTGTTGCCTTCTTCTGCCTGCGCCAGACCACGAGCCCACGGAACTGGTGCATCAAGATGGTATGTAACCCATATCCTTTGGAGGCTGGTGTGCCTGTGCCCAGTTCAGGGGCCAGCAGGGGAAGGCAGGATGGGTAGAATTGCTTTCTGGCCTCTAACCTGACAACCTGGTCCTCTAGCCAGCAGAAGCAAGGTCTGTAGTGAGCTTCTTGTAAGTGGGCACAGATGGCCATCTGGGAAAATGTCAAGGATGGAGGCTGGACCTGGGGTCTTGCTGCTGGAAGCTGCTGATGGCTGCACATTCTGATTTTCTGCTAAGAATCGGGTCCCTCAGTAATATCTGCAAAGAGCTCTGAATCCATGAGCCCTACTTGCATGTGAAAAGCCTCACCTCTTCACTGTCCCACTGGGGATAATGTTTCCGGTTCATCAACGTTGGGGCATACATTCGAGATCCTTCACAGGTTCCTATTACCCCCAGGTTTCAGAAAGATGTCCTAACCTAGCCCACCAGGCACTTGGAGCCCTGGCCAGCCCCTTTCTCCACATTCTGCCTGCCCTGGGTTTGTCTATGCTTCTGGCTTCCTATATACCATTTTCTCTATCCAGAATACTTTTTCCTTCCTTCTTCTCTTGGCCAAATCCATTGCCATATCCTTCAAATGACAACATCAGTGTCATCTCCTCAGGCAGCCCTCCATGTGGCCTCACATCAGGCTGGGCATTTTTTTTTTTTTGATGCAAGAGCTCATATTGCTAAAATTAGCTGTGTAGCTGACCTTCTGATCCTCCTGCCTCCACTTCCCAGTACTGGCCGGACTGTAGTAGTAGATTTGCTGAGTATGGATGAATACTATCCTTCGGGGCCCCAATAAAGAATGAGGTGTCGGGTGCGGGGCTCCAGAGTGAACACAGCAGGAGCTGGGGCCCAGGAAGGGAGAAGCTAGGGGTGTGGCTGGAGTAGAGGGCAGAGTGAGCCTGGCCGAACCCTGACGAGCCATCTGTGTTCTAGGACCTCCATCCTCAAGCACAGGCTCCAGGGCTGAGCTGTAGGTAGGACTGGGTATCAGGGATGCTAGTGGCTGTGGACCAGTGGAGAGGGATCCCAGGTGTGGCTCTGCAGCCTGTGACAAAGACTGCCCAGGTCAAAGGTGCTAGATCTCAATGCCACCCAGGGCAGGTGGAAGCTGGTGCATCAGGTAGCAGGGCTGAGATCATTAGGGATGTCTGGGAAGTTGACAAGAGCCATGCTGGAGCTTAGGCCTGCTGCTAACCCTAGCTGAAGGCCTAGATGATGTTCTGTATCCTTTGAGCTCTTAGAAATCAGAGGGGGTTTTACTAGAGGGAGTGGACCCAGAGGATGCCCTTGGCTACGAGGACATGAGTCTCCACTCACGAGAGATAGCTCAAGGGATCTTGGGTATGTCATGCTCTGAAATTTCTTCTTTTTCTTTTTCTCTGACCATACTCACCACTTTGGGATTTTTGAGATAGGGTCTCTCTACATACATAGCCCTGACTTTTCTGGAATTCATTATGTAGACCAGGCTAGCCTCAAATTCACAGAGATCTACTTGCCTCTGCCTCCTGAGGGTTGTGATTAAAGTTGTGTGCCACCATGCCCAACTCTGCTCTGTAATTTCATTCACTGACACTTCGATGTTTTCTCTGGGTACCCAGAGGGAGACAAGCATGTTCTGGATAGCTCCAAGGAGTGGGGAACGGACACCATCTACATGAACAAGTTTTACAAAGTGTTGAAGGAAACTTAAGGGCATGAAGCATGTGAGCAGATGGGGTCCAGGCTAAAGAAGTGGTGACGGCAGGAGGTTTGATGGATCT